ATGTATTCACAAGCAAAGCTGCAATTTACTAGATACCATCTACACAAAAATACAATATTGAGTGAGACTTCACGCCATTGCCAGATACTATCAACTACAAAAATGATGAAAGAAGCCTATAAATAGCTAGAGTGCCTGAAACCCTGAACATAGAGGACTACAAAAGGCTAGAGACCCTGAAACCCTGAACATGGGAAACCATCAATTTTCGTGGGAAAAAGGCAAAGTTCAGCGTTAGAACGCTGAAAAATTCCTTGATATCAAGGGTAATAAACGAGTCTCTTCGTAAACTCAGAGGACTCGTAACTTTGTCTTTCAACTTGGGTAACACCATCTTGAATCAGAATATCCAAGTTCAAGTTCATTTCTGAGAGCTTCTTGAGAGTTGAACTTGGTGTTAACTGACCACAAACTGCACATCCAGACTCCTCAAATTGATTTGGATCTATATCTTCACAGAAATCTGTAAATATCTGATGCAGTAATTTTTGGGAAGGAGCTGAAGGAGGAAATTCTGGGTTTAAGCTTTTATTTTGATATTTCTTTACTGCTTCCAAGTTTAAAACTTTATATTTTTCTTCATTTTTTTCTTGGTGTTTTTTGACTGCCTCCAAGTGGCTGGCCTTGTATTTCTCTGGGCTTTTTTCCTGGTATTTTTTAACTGCATCCAAGTTGCTGGCCTTATATGTCTCTGGGCTTTTCTCTTGATGTTTTTTGACTGCATCCAAGTTGCTGGCCTTATATTTCTCTGGGCTTTTCTCTTGGTGTTTTTTAACTGCCTCCAAGTGGCTGGCCTTATATTTCTCTGGACTTTTTTCTTGGTATTTTTTTGACTTATTTAAATTAATAGCTTTCTTTTTTTCTGTCTCGTCTTTCTCATCTATAAATTCAAATATTTCTACATATTCTTTACATGATTTACACTTGTGACTTTCAATAATGCTCTGAATTTCTAAGCTTTTTGACTTGGAATGAAGTTTGATGTTATGGCATTGAGCAATAAATTTTAAGTTAGGAATGCTCAAGTGGGAAATGAGCTCTGTAAGGGGCATCTTACAAAGTAAAGTTGGACTTTTGATACTCTTCAATGTATGGACTTCAGATTCAGGTACATAGTCTGAATATTTATACATCCCTCCTGTATTCACCTCATTTATAGCAAATGAAGAAAGCTTCTCAGCTGAGAATATACCTGCAGGG